CGGCTTGGCCAGGGAGATATACAGCCCACAGCTTGGCTGGGGTTATACAGCCCTACAGCTCCTTTGCTGAAGGACTCCAGTCAGCCATCATGGAAACCTGAATTCTTTTTCCCCTGGAAGTCTACAAAGCTCTGCTTGGCAAGGGTCACTCGCGGAAGCCAGAAGCAGTTGGTACCGGGTGCAGGAGCTCCACACCAACAGAGGCAAAGACAGACTGCCCAGATTAGAAGTTAAGGATTTCCCCATTAGTTACAGTTATGAAGATAGTGCCTGTTTGCTGTGGACAAGATTGAGAGAGAGCCAATAGACTGTTAAGAAAGCCTTGAAGTACCTGTTTGTTTTCATTAATAAATAACTTTGTTGAACCTTTAAGCAATCTAAAAACTCTGTTTTAAGGAAATCCAAAGGCCTTAAATCTGAGGCAGCCCTGGCGTCCCGTTGGGTACACAGAATTTATGTCCTGTCTACAGTCTTATGCACAGGCCCAGCGTGTGACAGCACACATTGTGACTAGCATGTTTTCTTTTTTTTCTTATAGGTCTCCTTGATGCCAAACCCTACTGCAGTGGACGAGGAAACTACAGCAATGACATCTGTGGCTGCATCTGTGAAGCTGGATGGAAAGGACCCAACTGCTCCGAACCAGAATGCCCCTTGAATTGCAATGGCAGGGGGCTGTGTGTCAACGGCAAGTGTGTTTGTGATGAAGGCTTCACTGGAGATGACTGCGGGCAGAGGACATGTCCAGGGGATTGCAACGACCAAGGGAAATGTGTTGATGGACGATGCATTTGCTTCGACAGCTATGCCGGTGAGGACTGTAGTATGGAGATCTGCCTGGTGCCCTGCAGCGAGCACGGGAAGTGTGTGAATGGACAGTGCATCTGCGATGAAGGCTTCAGTGGGGCAGACTGCAGTCAACCCCTATGCCTCAACAATTGCAACAATCGGGGACGCTGTGTGGAAGAGGAATGCGTGTGCGATGAAGGCTATACTGGTGACGACTGCAGCGAACTCATCTGCCCCAACGACTGCTACGACCGCGGGCGTTGCATCAATGGGACCTGCTTTTGCGAAATGGGGTTCACTGGAGAAGACTGTGGGGACATTGCTTGCCCCAACAACTGCAATGGCAATGGGCGCTGTGACAACGGGGTGTGCGTCTGTTATGAAGGCTTCACCGGAGATTACTGTAGCGACCGGAGGTGTCCGAAGGATTGTAACAAGCGTGGCCGTTGTATTAATGGGCAGTGCGTCTGCAGTGAAGGGTTCTTGGGCCCTGACTGTAGTGAAGTGAGGTGTCCCAAGGACTGCAACAACCAGGGGCGTTGTGTCAACGGCCAGTGCATATGTGATGAAAGGTTCATGGGGGAGGATTGCAGCGAGCTGAGATGCTGGAACGATTGCAACCATCGAGGCCGGTGTATCAATGGGCAATGTGAATGCAACGAGGGCTTCATGGGGGATGACTGCGGTGAACTGAAATGCCCCAACGACTGCCACAACCGAGGGAGATGCATCAATGGGCAGTGTGTGTGCAACGAGGGATTTGTGGGAGAGGACTGTGGGCAGTGGCGGTGTCCCAATGACTGCCACAATCGGGGACGCTGTGTAGATGGCAAATGTGTGTGTGATGAGGCCTTCATGGGCATCGATTGTGGTGAATTGAGGTGCCCCAATGACTGCAATGGCCACGGCCTGTGTATTAACGGCCAGTGTGTTTGTGATGAAGGTTACACGGGCGAAGACTGTGCAGAACGGACCTGTCCCAATGACTGCAACCGGCGTGGCTTGTGCATCAATGGCACATGTGTCTGCAACCAAGGGTTTGTAGGTGTCGACTGCGGAGAGCTGGCTTGTGTCAACAACTGCAGTAACCGAGGCCGTTGTGTGAATGGGCTGTGTGTGTGCAATGAAGGTTTCATCGGAGTGGACTGTAGCCAACGACAGTGTCCCAGAGACTGCAGCAACCGTGGTCTGTGTGTCAACGGTGTGTGCATATGTGATGAAGGATACCAAGGGATTGACTGCAGTGAACAGTCTTGCCCCAACAACTGCAATGATCTGGGTCGCTGCATCAACGGACATTGCTTCTGTGATGAAGGCTATGTCGGGGACGACTGTTCTGATGGTAAGTTCTGCTCAAAATCTTATTGTTGTTGTTGATAACGTTCATGAAGGATCTAAAGAATGGATGAAATTCTACATCATGGTCAACATCTCATAACTATAATTCCGTAACTAACGATGCCACAAAAATGGTGGTGGGATGTAAATAAAGTTATTATTATTATTATTATTATTATTATTATTATTATTGGCAATCCATGGTTCTAAATGGTTCTAAAGTACTTACAAAACTAGAGAACTCTGGTGCTTTCCTGCTACAGTGTTGCTAAAGTTCTGGTGGTGAAAATTTCAGAACTCTAACAAAACTTTCAAAATTTCATTATAAATAGCAGTTCCTAATTGGTTTTGTCATACAAATCACCAATAACAAAATAATAATGAAATTTTGGAAGTTTTGTTAGAGTTCTGAAATTTATTCTGGTGGTGAAAATTTCAGAACTCTAACAAAACTTGCAAAATTTCATTATTATTTTGTTATTGGTGATTTTTATGACAAAACCAATTAGGAACTGCCATTTATAATGAAATTTTGAAAGTTTTGGTAGAGTTCTGAAATTTTCACCACCAGAACTCTAAATTTCAGAACTCTACCAAAACTTTCAAAATTTCATTATAAATGGCAGTTCCTAATTGGTTTTGTCATACAAATCACCAATAACAAAATAATAATGAAATTTTGGAAGTTTTGTTAGAGTTCTGAAATTTTCACCACCAGAACTAGAGAGTTCTGGTGCTTTACTTCTACAGTGTTGCTAAAGTTCTGGTGGTGAAAATTTCAGAACTCTAACAAAACTTTCAAAATGTCATTATAAATAGCAGTTCCTAATTGGTTTTGTCATAAAAATCACCAATAACAAAATAATAATGAAATTTTGGAAGTTTTGTTAGAGTTCTGAAATTTAGAGTTCTGGTGGTGAAAATTTCAGAACTCTAACAAACCTTTCAAAATTTCATTATAAATGGCAGTTCCTAATTGGTTTTGTCATAAAAATCAGCAATAACAAAATAATAATGACATTTTGGAAGTTTTGTTAGAGTTCTGAAATTTAGAGTTCTGGTGGTGAAAATGTCAGAACTCTAACAAAACTTTCAAAATTTCATTATAAATGGCAGTCCCTAATTGGTTTTGTCATAAAAATCACCAATAACAAAATAATAATGACATTTTGGAAGTTTTGTTAGTTCTGAAATTTTCACCACCAGAACATTAGCAATACTGTAGAAGCAAAGCATCAACGCCATCTAGTTTTGTAAGTACTTTAGAACCATTTAGAACCACGAATTGCCCATGCCTAATGTTTATGTATTTATTTATTTAAGGTATTTATATTCCGCCCTTCTCACCATGCAGGGGACTCAGGGCGGATTACAGTGCACATATACATGGCAAACATTCATTGCCATAGACACACAACATATATAGACAGACACTCAGAGGCTATTTAACAATCGAGTTTTTTTCCTGAGGGTATTCTGGCCGCCAGGGGAACTGTTGCTTCACTGTCCATTTGTGACACTGACCAAGTACTTCTTCATTCTTTGCATGCTTGCTGGAGATTTCTATGGCCTTGTAAATTAGTTAAATTAGCCTCCCCACATAAGTACAACATATATAGACTGACACAGAGGCATTTTAACATTCCAGCTTTCTGGCTTCATGAGGAATGCTCAATTTTGGCCACAGGGGGAGCTCCCACTTCACTGTCCATTTGTGACACCGAGTCCTTTGATGGAGTACTTCCTCATTCTTCTGCACGGTGCTGGAAGGTTTTATGGCATTGTAAATTAGTTAAATTAGCCTCCCCGCATAAAGTGGTACCTAAATTTCCTACTTGACAGATGCAACTGTCTTTCAGGCTGCATAGGTCAACAGCAAGCTAGACTATTAATGGTTGAGAGCTCAATCCAACCTGGATTGGCTTCGAACTCAGTAGGGATTTGATGCAGCTGACTACTAACTAGCTGCATCACAGTCCAGTCCTCTGTTATGCATATTGGCTGCTCCTGATGAACATCAGACAGTTTTCATGCATCTTGGGCACTTGCAATATGTATTTGGGCACTTGTACTATGAATACTTGTGATGTGAGATTTGCCTGTATTCCTATAAATTATGGCTAAGAGCCACACCTTTCTGCACATAGGTTTTTCTAGGCAGAAAATATGTGTGGTTTTCCTGTATAGATAAAATGACTCTTTGCGAATAGTTACTTCCAGGCCCTGATCATTACATCTCATCGAAGTCTGACATTTCTTATCCTCTTATAATAGCCTTTCAGAAGTTTTCAAGTTCCAGTCTCATATTTCACAGAAAATAATGGCTAGGTTTCTGTTGGTGACATAACACAGACTTCATGACAAATCACTTCATTGGAAAGTAGGTATGGATTGGCAATTTTGAACACTGATATATATCAAAACATACAGAAGAGATGAATATAAGTTCGTGGATACCGACTTCCGTTGCATTAATAATAATAATAATAATAATAATAATAATAATAATAATCTTTATTTATATATTACTCAAAGGGGACTCAAAGCAGATAACAGAACACATATAATATAGTAATAATTATGATAAAGTGTAGTGATACAATAATAATATTATAATAATATAATATTAGAAATCTATATAAATAAAAATGTAATGTTCATTTGTGGGATTGGCATAACTCAAAAACTACTGGATGAATTGACACAAAATTTGGACACTACACACCTAACAAACTAATGAGCAGGGGCGGCTCAACCCATTACGCAAAGTAAGCATTTGCAGTACAGTTGATTTGCCCGGGGGCGCTCTTGAGGCGCTGTTGTGGGAAAATAGACCTTGACATATGCGAGTTGTAGTTAATGGGATGTATAGTTGACCTACAATCAAAGAGCATTCTGAACTCCACCATTGATGGAATTGAACCAAATATGACACACAGAACTCCTACGACGAACAGAAAATATATATCAGTGATTGGTTGGGGTGGCACCAAAATACTGTTTGCTTACCGTTGAAGATTACATAGGGCCGGCTCTGCCAATGAGTGACCATTATTATTATTATTATTATTATTATTATTATTATTATTATTATTATTATAGTTAATAATAATAGTTTCTCCTGATATAGGGACTTGAGGTGATTAAACCCCTCCCAAAAAAAAAAAACAGTGGAAAGGACTTAAAAGACCCCAAAAGCTAAATGATGATACAGCGCATGCACAAAAACAACAGCTCCCAGCAACCCCTAGACCAGGCCCTTTAGGGGAGGAAGATGCTCCAAATGCACAGCTTCCAAGCTGCAAGCTTTCTTCTCCTTGGATTTCTTTGAAAGAATCCCAATCCATGCATATTTCCTATTTCCTATTCCTGGACTACAACTCCCAGCAATCCTCCAGATAGATAAGATATGTAGATTAGATAGAGATAGATAGTAGGTAGACTGATCAATCTGGAGGATTGCTGAACATGTAGAGAAGGAAGAAAGGGGAGAAAGAAAAAAAGAGGGGAAGGAAGGAAAGAGGTAGAGAAGGAAGGAAGAAGAGAAGGAAAGATGGAAGGAAAGAGGTAGAGAAGGAAGGAAGGAGAGAAGGAGGGAGGGAGGGAGGGAAGGAAAGAAAGAAAGGAGAGAAAGAGGGAGGGAAGATTGGCCACAGCAATGCATGGTGGATACAGCTAGTATAATATAAATAATATTATATATAAATAAAAATGTAATGTTTGTTTGTGGGATTAACATAACTCAAAATCCACAGGACTAATTGACACCAAATTTGGACACAAAACACCTATCAGGTCAACAAGTGACCATCACTCATAAAAACACTGAAAAACGGTGCAGAAGAGACTTAAAAAGCAAAAAAAAAAACCCCAAAAATACATTACAACGCATGTGCAAAACACACATATATATAGATATGCACAAATATATATACACACAAAGCACATATACACAGACCGGGCCGCAGCAATATGTGGCAGGAGATGGCTAGTCTATATAAATAAAAATATAATGTTCGTTTGTGGGATTAACATAACTCAAAAACCACTGGGCGAATTGACACAAAGTTTGGACACAATACACCTAACAGTCCAACGAGAGTCCATCACCCCTAAACACACACACACAAGACCCCAGCAGAACAGACTTAAAAACCCCATATATATATATATATATATATATATATATATATATCTGCCCTTCCTCTTTACCTTATAACTATAAATAGTAATAATATAATAATAGTAATAATATCATCATAATATAGTATTATTAAAATATGCATGCACACATTCATACACACACGCATATATATATATATATATATGCACAAACACACAAATATACACATATACACACATACACATACATACACACATATATACACAATATGCATGTACACACATATACACACACACATATATACACCCATATATATATACTCAAACACACATATATACACAAATATATACAAACACAAAACACATATACACAGACTGAGCCACAGCAACATGTGGCAGCGGACAGCTAGTAATAATAATAACAATAATAATAATAATAATAATAATAATAATTAATCCATTTGAAGTAGCCAGGTATTGCTGCCCTTCCTCTTTACCTTATAATTATAAATAGTAATGATATAATAATAGTAATCATGTCATAATAATATAGTATTATTAAAATAATCATACAACAGTGGGTTGTTGTAGCTTTTTTCGGGCTATATGGCCATGTTCTAGAGGCATTATCTCCTGATGTTTCGCCTGCATCTATGGCAAGCATCTCAGAGGTAGTGAGGTCTGTTGGAACTAGGAAAAAGGGTTTATATATCTGTGGAATGACCAGGGTGGGACAAAGGACTCTTGTCTGCTGGAGCTAGGTGTGAATGTTTCAACTGACCACCTTGATTAGCATATAATGGCCTGACAGTGCCTAGAGCAAACTTTTGTTGAGAGGTGATTAGATGTCCTTGTTTGTTTCCTCTCTGTTGTTGTGCTGTTTTAATTTTAGAGGTTTTTAATACAGGTAGCCAGATTTTGTTCATTTTCATGGTTTCCTCCTTTCTGATGAAATTGTCCCTTTGCTAGTATCACCTCCAAAGGATCTGAAAGTTGTAGACGTGACAGACAAGACGGTCAACTTGGAATGGAAGAATGAAAATGTTGTCACTGAATACCTCATCACTTACGTCCCTACTGGCATTGGTGGCTTAGAAATGCAGTTCAAGGTACCTGGAAACAGATCATCAACCACCATCCGAGAGCTGGAACCTGGTGTAGAATATTTCATCCGCGTCTTTGCCGTCCTCAAGAATAAAAAGAGCATCCCCATCAGTGCTCGGGTTGCCACTTGTGAGTATCTTAATTAAGGATGGAAATAGGATTCAGTTCGAAACATAGTTCTATGCTGCAATTCTCACCCCATGTCCCTTCTTTGTGTTTGTGCATCTCAGATTTGCCTGCGCCCGATGGCTTGAAGTTCAAATCTGTCAAAGAGACATCAGTAGATGTAGAGTGGGACCCTGTGGACTTTCCATTCAGTGGATGGTTGATCGAGTTCAACAACCTGGTAAGGATCCCAAACGAGGTTTCTGCGGTGACACAAAAAGTCTTGGTTTCATTCCCATGTCATCAAATCCCACCCTTGCATTGCAGAAAGAAGAAGACAATGGAGCCATACGAAGCAGTTTAGAAAGTCCAAGGACGTCCTACATGCAAATAGGCCTGGCTCCAGGACAGCAATATAACGTGTCGCTTTATGTAGTGAAGAATCAAACCAGGGGACCCGGTCTCTCCAAAATAGTGACAACAAGTAAGTCATCATTGGAGGTACAGAGCATCTGAGGTCATTGCCCAATAAGCTCTCCAAAAGGAACCAAGTGGAGACCCCTTTTCCCCAGGATAATAACTAATTCAGGGTAGATTCCTCATAATAATAATAATAATAATAATAATTATTATTATTATTATTATTATATTCTGCCCTTTTCCCCATGGGGACTCAGTGTAAACAGATACCAGCAAACATTCAATGCATTAATGTATTGTCGAAGGCTTTCATGGCCGGAATCACTCAGTTCTTGTGGGTTTTTTCGGGCTATATGGCCATGTTCTAGAGGCATTTCTCCTGACGTTTTGCCTGCATCTATGGCAAGCTTCCTCAGACATAGACCTCTGAGGAAGCTTGCCATAGATGCAGGCGAAACGTCAGGAGAAATGCCTCTAGAACATGGCCATATAGCCCGAAAAAACCCACAAGAACTGAATTCAATGCATTGTTACAATACATTGAGACACACAAACACAAACAAAGGCAAAGGCTTCTCCTTTCATTGCCAGCTTTGGAGGAAGTGCTCATCTCTGGCTATGGGAGGGATGCTGTTCTCCATTTCCAAGCCAAGGAGCCTGTCTTGTCACCTCCTGGTCATGTGATGAGCATGACTACTTGGAGCGTCTTATTTATTTATTTATTTATTTATTTATTTATTTATTTACAACATTTATACGCCACCCTTCTCATCCCAAAGAGGACTCAGAATGGCTTACAAAATAGATATATTTATTTTATTTTATTATTTATTTATTTACAGCTTTTCTATTCCGCCCTTCTCACCCCGCAGGGGACTCAGGGTGGATTACAGTGTACACATATATGGTAAACATTCAATGCCAATTTTGACATACAAACATATACAGACATAGACAGAGGCTATTTAACTTTTTTCTGGCCGCCAGGGGAGCTGTCGCTTTCATCGTCCATCTGCGACGCTGATGAAGCACTTCTGCATTCCCTCATGCTTCCCCGCTGGAATGCTTTGCTGGAGTCTTCTTTATGGCCTCATAAATCAGTTAATTTAGCCTCCCCACATTTAAGGTGGTACCTTATTTTCCTACTTGTCAGATGCAACTGTCTTTCGGGTTGCAAAGGTCGACAACAGGCTACACACAATTGGTTGGAAACCCACTCCAACTCGGGCTGGCTTTGAACTCATGACCTTTTTGGTCAGAATAATCTTAATGCAGCTGACACTCAGCCAGCTGCATCACAATATATTATGTTACTAGCATACTACAATATCAGTATTATATATTACTATATTGTACTATACCATTATATTTTAATGTTATTTATTTATTTATTTGCGCCATTTATATGCCGCCCTTCTCACCCCGAAGGGGACTCAGAGCGGCTTACAAGGTATATATTACCTTGGTATATATTACCTACAAGGTAATAACATATATTGTACTGTTATTAGCATAGTACAATATCAGCATTAAACATTGCTATATTGCACCATACCACTATATCGTAGTAGTATTAGTAATATTACATGTAATATACATATATAATTATAATATCATATTGTTGTTGTTGTTATTATTATATTGCATTACATTATAATATTATAAATATTATATGTATATATATTATATTATTAGAATAGCACAGGAGACAAGGTGGAACTGTCCCCTGCCCCCTCCCCCTTATTAGTAACATTACATGTAATATAAAATATATAATTATAATGTCATATTATATGTCTTTCCCACCAAAGCGATACCTATTTATCTACTCACATTCGTATGTTTTCAAACTGCTAGGTTGACAGGAGCTGGGCTAATAGTGGGACCTCACCCTGTTCTGTGGATTCAAGCTGCCAACGTTCAAGTCAGCAGCACAAGGGTTTAACCCATTGCACCTATATACTTATATTACTTATTTTTCCATCCAGCTCCTAACTTAGGACCATGATGGATTTCAGTGGGAACAAAATAACATATCAAATTCTAGTGGTGGTCTTGAGTCAAAACAGTGGTGAACCTTTTCTGGGGTTTGATCCAAACTTTAAAGAAACTATCTGAATATCTCTATATCAAGCATAACTAAAATATTGAGTCAATTCTACATCCGCACTGACATTAAACCCCAAGCCAGCACGATAGAAAACCAAGGCAGACTCTTGGATCTTGTCTCACAATTTTTAAAATCCCATATTGTCCTTCTTTTTGCTTTTAGGACTTGATGCTCCAAGCCAGATTGAGGCCAAGGATGTTACAGACACCACCGCCTTGATCACATGGTTTAAACCCTTGGCTGAGATCGATGGGGTTGAGTTGACTTACGGGCCAAAGAGTGCTCCAGGGGACCGGACATCGATTGATCTCTCAGAGGATGAAAGCCAGTTCTCCATTGGAAACCTGAAGCCACACACAGAATATGAAGTGACATTGACGTCCCGACGAGGGGAGATGGAGAGCGATCCTGTGACAGAAACATTTATCACAGGTAAATGTTGTAGCATCTCTAAAATATATGTGTGTATTTATTTATTCAAAATATTTATATTCCGCCCTTCTCACCCCAATATATACGACAAACATTCAATGATGGGACAAGAATTCATATGAGTATACATAAACATTAAAAACATTTATCAAAATGTTAAAATACACCGTTTAAAACCGTCTTGGTCATCTGTGTCAAATCTAAATTGGCCTGGTAAAGTTTCCTATCGCTGCCTTATTGCCCTGTCCCAAAAGCTTGGTCCCACAGCCAAGTTTTTACCATCCTTCTGAAGGACAGGAGGCAAGGGACCGACCTGATCTCACCAGGAAGGGAGCTCCATAGGTGGGGGCAATCACCGAGAAGGCCCTGTCTCTCGTCCCCACCAATCGTGCCTGTGACAATGGTAGGACGGAGAGTAGGGACCTTAATCTCCACGATGGTTCATAGTGGGAGATGCATTCAGACAGGTAAATCGGGTCAGGGCCATTTAGGGCTTTATAGGCCAAAGCCAGCACTTTGAATTGTGCTCGGTAGCAAACTGGCAGCCAGTGGAGCTGGCGTAACATGGGAGTTGTGTGCTCCCTGTATGCCGCCCTAGTTATTAACCTGGCTGCCTCTCGTTGGACTATTTGAAGCTTCCGAGCAGTCTTCAAGGGCAACCCCATGTAGAGTGCATTGCAGTAGTCTATCCTGGATGTAATGAGAGCGTGGACCACCGTGGCTAAGTCTGACTTCCCAAGGTACAGGTGCAGCTGGCGCACAAGTTTATTTAGAAATGTATCTGATTTTCAAGAAATTAATAAGTATTGAAATTATTATTATTATTATTATTATTATTATTATTATTATTATTATTATTATTTACAGTATTTATATACCACCTTTCTCACCCCTGGGGGAACTCAAAGCGGTTAACACATAAATAATGGCAAAATTCAATGCCTTACATTGGGCACCGATACAATGCCAATACAAACAATTACAATAGTAAAACCACAATTAGACATACATCATAATTAAAACAATGCATCAACAAGCATTAAAACAATAAATAATTAATAATTAATAATATTCAAATTCACTAGAGTTGTGCATGTATCCATTTTCCTTCGTTACATCTGTTCGTTTGTTACTTTCTGTGCTGTCGCGCACTGGGCCTATGGCAATTGGCTTTTGAATAGGACGTGCCCTTTGTGCCCAGCGGGAAGCCGGGGTGCCTTGGATGAGTGGCCCTATGGGTTTTCCTATACAAAGTCTTTAGAGGCTTAAAAGTTTAACGAAGTTCTTTATTATTGCTTAGGTCTTCAACAAACAATCTTAGGTCTTCAACAAATCAAACAAATGCTTCTTAACTTGCCTACAATGGACAGGCAACTTGCTTGGAGAACTATTTCTTTCCTTTACGAAGAAAACCCTTTTTAACCCCTCCCTGGGCAATCTGCTTTCTGCTGGTGTGGGCTCTACTCCCAGCTCCAAAATGCTTCTTGGGTACCCGAGTAGACCTACCAGCCAAGGCTCTGAAGAATTTCCAGCTGGAATCCTTTTCCCAAGAAGGTTGTAGGTCTGTTTCTCTAACCCCAATCAGGGTTGTGCTATAAAGCTGTTTCTCTTAAAAGCCTTTTTTAAGAGACTGTTCTTAAAGCTGTGAGGCTGTAAATTCCCCAGCCAGAGCTTTTGGGGCTGTTATCCCCCGGACTTTGTAAGAAACGAAGCTTCTCTACAGGTAGAAAACTTTCACGTCCTGTAGCTGAGCTTCCAACTGTAAGACTGAACTAAAATGGTTCTCTTTCCCTCCTGAACCTGGAAAAAAGGGCGGAACTAAAACTTAACGATGATAGACAGGTGGCTAGCCCCATGACTGCAGCCCAGCAGGAACCATCCCACTGCAAAATGCATGGCCAGAACAAGCACATGCAAATGCTCAAAGAATGAAAGGGAGTTTGGAGCTCCTGGTACAGCCGTACCAGCTCACTTGCGTTAGCTTCAGGAGCATGTAACGGGAAGATCCCTCCTGTTACAAAAATCAGCTCAACACAAAAGCAAGTAGGAGCCGATCCCGGCTCCTCCCCTGCTTTTCGTGAGCAGCCTCCTTGGCTTGGAAAGAGTATGTGTGTGGTGTGCAGGCCCAGAAAGCATTCCCACCTGCCTGCAGCCTAGCACCTCCTCTAGAGTAAGAAACAGAACTTGCCTTCTTGCCTTGGAAAGAGTGTGTGTGTGGCATGCAGGCTCAGAAAGAGTGTGTGCTTGCCTGCAGACAAGCACTTCTCCTTTAGAGTAGAGAAACAAGTAACAAGCCTTCTTAAGTTGCATGCCTGCTTGCAGATGAATGCCTCTCCCCTAGAGCTGAAATGCTTATGTCATTGTGTTTGGTTTACTGCTTTTTTGTATTTTGTTCATTGTAGTCATATGTTCTGTGTTTTACTGCGATGTTGTTTATTTTATTGTAACTTGCATCTTCCCTCGGGAGATGCTAGCGGGGTACAAATAAAGTTAATAATAATAATAATAATAATAATAATAATAATAATAATAATAATTTGTTGTTTGGACTTGGCCTCATGTAAGCCGCCCCGAGTCCTCGTTGAGGAGATAGTGGCGGGGTATAAATAAAGATTATTATTATTACTAGCCGTCCCCTGCCACACATTGTTGTGGCCCACATGGGGGTTCTGTGTGGGAGGTTTGGCCCAATTCTATCATTGGTGGGGTTCAGAATGCTCTTGATTGTAGCTGAACTATAAATCCCAGCAACTACAACTCCCAAATGACAAAATATTTTTTTTTAAGTGAAGGACATACATTGGGTTGTTAGGTGTCTTGTGTCCAAATTTGGTGTCAATTCGTCCAGTGGTTTTTGAGTTCTGTTAATCCCACAAACGAACATTGCATTTTTATTTATATAGACTATTATTATTATTATTATTATTATTATTATTATTATTATTATTGGAAGAGGAGCCTGGGAAGCCCTCTGCCCAATGGCCCTATAGAAAACAGATCTTTCAGCATTCCAGAATAAAAACAGATATCTGCACCCCCCCACCCCCCAATTTTGGGAGGCTCCAAAAGCCAAGACACCAAACAGGTCAAGGTTTACCCAGACTGCACGAGCCTAAAATGTACATAGCATTTTGTGGAGACTTATTTATTTCATATCAAAAGCATTGCATAAATTAGTATAAAACTGATAAAAATAGAAGGGGCGCAGGCAGCTAAATATCTTTTGACCAAAAACGGGCAACAGCAATGGCATTGTCTGTAGCCTCCAACAATTCTTCCTCTGTGCATGAGGCAGGGCACAGTGGACAAGCATACAGATGCGGAGTTGTCACACAAGGTGTGGGATTCTTTTAGGTCATGCCATTTTGCCAGGTTGTCTTTTGATCTGCCCACTCCACTTCTGAGTCTGTTCAGGGACTTCCAAGTTGCCCATTCTTGGTTTGCCCCTGGAAGAAGACCCTCTCTCGTGGGGGACCCTCCAGTTGGGATTTCCTGGTTGATCTGCCCAGAGGGATACCCTTGCTGTTGCTGGGGGGACACCAAGAGGAGTGGCAGTTCTCATAAAGCTTTTCCTTGATTTGAGTCTACTGGGAGGAGGCTGGTAGCCATGCAGTGGGTGGCTTTCACAGTATTCAACCTTATTTCTCTCACATTTTGCAGCAACTTCCCATCACACTTGGGGGGGGGGGGGCAATGCCAGCTAGCTTGTAGAGTTTATCAACAGGTGTAGGTTTAAGACATCCTGTGATTATTCTGCATATTTCATTCAATGCTATGTGGAGTGGCAGTTCTCATAAAGCTTTTCGTTGATTTGAGTCTACTGGGAGGAGGCTGGTAGCCATGTCCTGCGTAGCTTTCACAGTGTTCAACCTTATTTCTCTCACATTTCGCAGTAACTTCCCGTCTCACATCGGGGGGGGGGGGGGGGGGGACAATGCCAGCTAGCTTGTAGAGTTTATCCACAGGTGTAGGTTTAAGACATCCTGTGATTATTCTGCATGTTTCATTCAATGCTATTCAATGGGCAGACAAAACAGGACAGGCATACTCGGCAGTTGAGTAAGACAAGGCTAGGGCCAGTAAGTTTCCGCAGGATGTTATTGTGTGCAGCTACTTTGTGCTTGGTGTTCAAGCAGTGTTTCCTATTACTTACTTACTTACTTCCTTACTTACTTAGGCAATCCCTCGTTGGTCAAGTAGGATAGTCTTCCAGGATCACAATTCTTGAGAGTCTGTAGGTGACTGTGGAGCCCTATTCCTGATCTGCATCTTCTTCTGCAGTGAGGGCATTGGTTTCCAGATGGAAGGTGGTCCCGGTCGGGGTTGGCTTGACATGCCTTCCTCTTGGCACGTTTCTCTCTTTCACCCTCCATTCGTGAGTTCAGAATAGAGCAACTGCTTTGGGAGATGGTGGTCGGGGACAACGTGGCCGGTCCAGCGAACTTGATAGCGGAGTACCATCGCTTCAATGCTGGTGGTCTTTGCTTCTTCCAGCATGCTGATGTTTGTCCGCCTGTCTTCCCAAGAGATTTGCAGGCTTTTCCGGAGGCAGCGCTGATGTGTTTCCTATATGCTAGTGTTCGATCTAAGGTGACACCGAGATATTTAGGATGGAAACAATGTTCAAGCTCTTTTTTTGGTGGAGACTGAAATGGCAGGTATATGACAAATTGATGTTGATGGGACATAGATCAGTAGTGTCCAACCTTTGGTCCTCCAAGTGTTTTGGACTTCTGCTCCCAGAATTACTGAGCTTCTGGGAGTTGGAGTCACAAACATCTGGAGGACCAAAAGTTGGACACCACTGACATAGAGGGATTTATTCCCCAATAAACTTCAAATTTACTACCAAAAAATGTCACATTTTCCCCATCCAACACGTAGATCTGGATGCTCCAAGAAATCTGAAACGCCTCTCCCAGACAGACAACACTATCACCCTTGACTGGAAGAACAGCCAAGCCACACCTGAAATGTATAGGATCAAATATGCCCCAATTTCTGGAGGAGATCATATTGAAGTCACTGTGCCCAGAAGCAACCAAGCCACCACCAAAGCTACACTCACAGGTAAGGTTCCGCAAAAATTCCTTTTGAAACAATTAATTCAAATCCTGCTATTAACCTCAACTGGACCAGGTAAGGGCAAACTTCGGTCCTCAAGGTGTTTTGGACAACAACTCCCACAATTCCTAACAATTGTGGGAGTTGTCGTCCAAAGCACCTGGAAGGGCGAAGTTTGCCCATGCCTGCTCTGGACTAATGAGGCTCACCTACTTGTGAACCCACCATTCAATAAATCTAAATCTACTGGACTTAGGACAAACCAATGGGATTCAGGCAAAGGTCATTTTATTTCTTCAGAATGTGTATACCAGGGGTCCTCAAACTACGGCCCGCGGGCTGGACCCGGCCCCCCGAGAGCATTTATCCAGCCCGCGGGATGTGGAGAAGGGTGAGTCCCCCTTTGGGGCTGTGTCTCCTGCCACTTCCCTTGGCCCAGCCTGGCCTTCTTCCTGTCTTTGGGATGGGTCTTTGCCTCATTCCATAGGCAGGAGATGGTGAGGGAGGCGGCGGGCAAAGCGGCTTTGGGGCCGTGTTGCCTACCACTTCCTTTGGCCCAGCCTGGCCTTCTCCTGCCTTCGGGATGAGACCTCACCTCATTCTAAAGGCAGGAGATGGCGAGGGAGGTGGCAGGCGAAGCAGCTTTGGGGCCGCTTCCCCTACCGCCTCCCTTGGCCCAGCCTAGCCTTCTCCTGCCTTCGGGATGGGACCTCATCCCATCCCAAAGGCAGGAGATGACGAGGGGGACTGCAGGCGAAGCGGCTTTGGGGTCGCTTCCCCTGCCACCTCCCTTGGCCCAGCCTGGCCTTCTCCTGCCTTCAGGACGGAGCCTCCCCTCATCCCAAAGGCAGGAGAAGGTGGGGGAGGCGGCAGGTGAAACGGCTTTTGGGACTGTATACAATCAGATAATGGAAATTCAGCCTGCATTGGAGCTCCCAGTGGCGCAGTGGGCTAAACCCCTGTGCCGGCAGGACTGAAGACCGACAGGTTGCAGGTTCAAATCCGGGGAGAGCGAGGATGAGCTCCCTCTGTCAGCTCCAACTCCTCATGCGGGGACATGAGAGAAGACTTCCTTAAGAATGATAAAACATCAAAACATCTGGGCATTCCCTGGACAGCATCCTTGCAGACAGCCAATTCTCTCACACCAGAAGTGACTTGCAGTTTCTCAAGTCGCTCCTGACATGACAAAAAAAAGCCTGCATTGGTATATACAACAATTATGATGAAATGATGTGTATCTGACTCTTGTTCCTTTCATCAAGGAATGGTTGTGTGACTTTCCTCCCTTTTCATGCAGGTTTGAGACCTGAAACAGAATACGGCATTGGTGTGACAGCTGTGAAAGAGGACAAAGAAAGTGCTCCGGCTACAATTAATGCTGGAACTGGTAAGACAAGTTCTAATAATAATAATAATAATAATAATAATTCTCATCAAGATTTTCAGGACTAGGATCAGGAAACTCCCAGCACTTAACCTCTTTAAACATGGTAAAGGAAGGAGCAAGCTTGTTTTCTGCTTCCCTGGAGACTAGGACGCGGAACAATGGCTTCAAACTACAAGAGAGGAGATTCCATCTGAACATGAGGAAGAACTTCCTGACTGTGAAAGCCGTTCAGCAGTGGAACTCTCTGCCCCGGAGTGTGGTGGAGGCTCCTTCTTTGGAAGCTTTTAAACAGAGGCTGGATGGCCATCTGTCAGGTGTGATTTGAATGCAATATTCCTGCTTCTTGGCAGGGGGTTGGACTGGATGGCCCATGAGGTCTCTTCCAACTCTATGATTCTATGATTCTATGAGACTCTATGAGATGTTCATTGAAAAACTATAGCGAAATGTGCTGATGCAGGATGTCTCGCTTTTGCAGCTTAATAAACGTTTTCCAAGTTTTTTTTATGGTAGAACCAATTAGTAAATGACATTTATAACCAAGCAATAAAAATTGTGTTACATAGTAGAGTTGTGCACGGATCCGTTTGCCTTTGTTACATCCTTGCTTTCGTTACTTTTGATACGTTTGGGAGTACATAATGGGAAGCCCCCTCCTAGTACGAAAATCAGCACGACATGAAAGCAAGTGGAGCTGATCTTTGTCTGCTTTTCGTGAGCAGCCCCCTAGCTTTGTGGCATGCAGGCCTAGAAAACACACATACTTACTGCAGCCGAGTTCTGCCTCTAGAGTAGGACACGGAACTTGTCTTCTCCTTGCCTTGGAAAGAGTACTTGTGTGATGTGCTGGCCCAGAAAGTATGCAGGACTGCTTGCAGCCAAGCACCTTTCCTCTAGAGTAGAGAAATATGTAAGAAGCCTCCTTAAAGTCTGCAGCTGAGCACCTCTCCTCTAGAGTAGAAACAGCTTAAATGCCTAAAGTGACTGGAAGGGAAATCTGGAAAGCCACCCTCCCGCCCCCCAAATAATGGGCCGATAGAAAATGAATCTTTCGCCACCCCAAAGTGAAAACAGATTCCCGCCTTCCCAATATTGGAAGGCTCCCAAAAAATGTTCGGGTGCCCCATCGAAAGTCGGAACACAAAACGGGTCAAGGTTTACCCAGATTGCACAAGCCTATTACATAATGTGCATAGAATCATACAATCCTAGAGTTGGAAAAGACCTCATGAGTCATCCAGTCCAACCCCATTCAGCCAAGAAGCAGGAAAATTGCATTCAAAGCACCCCTGACAGATGGCCATCCAGCCTCTGTTTAAAAGCTTCCAAAGGAGGAAGCTGGCTCAAGAGCAGTACGTGTGAAAAAGATCTTGGAGTCCTTGTGGACAACAAGTTAAACATGAGCCAACAATGTGATATGGCGGCAAAAAAAGCCAATGGGATTTCGGCCTGCATGAATAGGAGCATAGTGTCTAGATCTAGCGAAGTCATGCTACCCCTCTATTCCGCCTTGGTTAGACTCTGTTTAAAAGCTTCCAAAGAAGGAGCCTCTACCACACTCCAGGGCAGAGAGTTCCACTGCTGAACAGCTCTCACAGTCAGGAAGTTCTTCCTAAGGTTCAGATGGAATCTCCTTTCTTGTAGTTTGAAGCCATTGTTCCATTGCGTCCTAGTCTCCAAGGAAGCAGAAAACAAGTTTGCTCCCTCCTCCCTATGAGTTCCTCTTATGTATTTATTCACAGCTATCATGTCTCACCCTTCTCTTCTTCAGGCTAAACATGCCCAGCTCTTTAAGCCGCTCCTCATAGGGCTTGTTCTCCAGACCCTGGATCATTTTATTCGCCCTCCTCTGGACACATTCCAGCTTGTCAATATCTCTCTTCAGTTGTGGTGCCCGGAATTGGACACAATATTCCAGGAGTGGTCTAACCAAGGTGGAATAGAGCATGGGTAGCATGACTTCCCTGCATACTATACCTTAGGCGCCTGTGATTGGCTATTTTACTCTCCAACATTTCACAGATGAAATTGTAACACACTATTTATTTATTTATTTATTTATTTATTTATTTATTTATTTATTTCGTGTACTTCTACTCCGCCCTTCTCAACCCCCAAGGGGGGACTCAGGGCAGCTTACAAAAAGGCACAATTCGATGCCTGCACAATAATACAAATAAATGTGTAAATACAGCAATTAAACCAATTAAGACAGTTAAAACAATCAATATATACCACAGTCAATAAACCAATCTCAAGCTCAGCGTTCGCCAACTCAGAGTCCATATTTCGTTCTACATTATCTATTCCTATCAGTCGTCGTAGTCCTTTATTCATCTGCCAGATTGCCCAAACGCCTGGTCCCAAATCCATGTTTTTTAATTTCCTTCTAAAGGAAAGGAGGGGTGTCACTGATCTAATTTCCCCGGGGAGTGAATTCCACAGGTGAGGGGCCACCACCGAGAAGGCCCTGCTCCTCGTCCCCACCAATCTCGCTTGTGATAGAGGCGGGGCCGAGAGCAGGGCCTCCCCAGAAGATCTTAAACTCCGAGGTGGGACGTAGAGGGAGATCTGTTCGGACAGATACGCTGGGCCGGAACCGTATAGGGTTTTGTAGGTCAAAACCAGCACTTTGAATTGTGCTCGGAATTGGATCGGCAGCCAGTGGAGCTGACATAGCAGAGGGGTGGTATGCTCCCTGTATGACGCTCCAGTGACTAATCTGGCTGCCTCCTGCTGGACTAATTGAAGTTCGAACAGTCTTCAAAGGCAACCCCACGTAGAGTGCGTTGCAGTAATCTAATCGGGATGTAACAAGAGCGTGGACCACTGTGGCCAGATCCAAGACTCTCTCCACTACACGAGAGTGTAGACAATATAGCATTTTTTTATTAATGTTGGGAGAAATTGCAGTTGTTTGCTTTCTCAAAACCTTCTGGGAAACCACTACAGAATTTCCTTTAAAAAAAACTCTTCTTTCTGCTTACAGATTTAGATAGTCCAAAAGATTTGGAGGTCACTGATCCTACTGAAACCACCCTCACCCTGCGATGGAAGCGACCCTTGGCCAAAATTGACCGCTACCGCCTTAGTTACCTGACTCCTTCTGGGAGGAAGAACGAGATCGAGATTCCAGTAGACAGCACCTCTTACATCCTAAGGTCATTAGATGCAGGGATAGAGTACACCATCAACCTCGTGGCGGAGAAAGGGAGGCACAAGAGTAAACCCTCAACAGTGACTGGCACGACTGGTATGTAACGTTTTTCGGCTTGAATTCTATTTTCTTTTAATCAGCTTGTCGTATATTTTTTCCTAAGGTTTCTAAAAGTATTTTGACATTGAACTTTTTCTTTTAGCTCCAGTGTAGCTTCTATGGGAAGGGGATGATTATGAAGCAGCGTGTTGACTTTTGTTTTTAGCACTGTCTTCTTGCATTATGTTTGTTTGTGTTAGAAAGCTGTTGATGTGAATTCTATGAAGCGAGTCAATGACTGGGGACATGCAGCTAAAAAGCTTTAGGAAATCTTATCCTTACACGAATCTCTTTTTTTTCCCTCAAGTTGATAGCATGGCTCACCCTAAGTGGGTTTCCATTAGAGTTGTGCACAGAATTCGTTTCTCCCATTTCCTTAGTTTCTTTCATATCTTTTGCTTCTTCAGGGGGCACGGAACAGGAAGGTCCCTCCCACTACAAAAGTCACCTCAACATGAAAGCAAGCAGGAGTGGGTGCCCGGCTCCTGGCCTGCCTTTTGGCATCACAGAGTAAAAGGCACTTGGCTGCAAGTGCTGGCAGGTGTGTGGAAAGAGAGTGTGTATGTGGCATACAGGCACAGAGTGCTCTGGGTCTGCACACCACGCATGCACTCTCTTTCCAAGGAGAGTATGTGTCTGGCATGGAGAAGTATCTGTACTTGCCTACAGCTGAGTGCCTCTTACTCTAGAGTAAGAGAAGCACAGTTGCAGGCCCTGGAAGGTGTAGGTGCTCTGGGTCTGCATGCCATACATGCGCTCTCTTTCCAAGGATGGTATGTGTGTGGCATGGAGGAGTGCCCATACCTGCCAGGGCCTGCAGCTGAGTGCCTCTTACTCTAGAGTAAAAGGAGCTCAACTGCAGGCTCTGGCAGGCACAGGTGCTCTGGGCCTGCATGCCACACATGCACTCTCTTTCCAAGGAGAGTATGTGTGTGGCATGGAGGAGTGCCCGTACCTGCCAGGGCCTGCAGCCAAGTTACTCTAGAGTAAAGGGAGCTCAACTGCAGGCCCCGGCAGGCGCAGGTGCTCTGGGCCTGCATGCCACACATGCACTCTCTTTCCAAGGAGAGTATGTGTGTGGCATGGAGGAGTGCCCGTACCTGCCAGGGCCTGCAGCCAAGTTACTCTAGAGTAAAGGGAGCTCAACTGCAGGCCCCGGCAGGCGCAGGTGCTCTGGGCCTGCATGCCACACATGCACTCTCTTTCCAAGGAGAGTATGTGTGTGGCATGGAGGAGTGCCCGTACCTGCCAGGGCCTGCAGCCGAGTTATTCTAGAGTAAAGGAAGCTCAACTGCAGGCCCTGGCAGGTGCAGGTGTTCTGGGCCTGCATGCCACACATGCACTCTCTTTCCAAGGAGAGTATGTGTGTGGCATGGAGTAGTGTCCATACCTGCCAGGGCCTGCAGCCGAGTGCCTCTTACTCTAGAGTAAAAGGAGCTCAACTTCAGGCTCTGGCAGGTGCAGGTGTTCTGGGCCTGCATGCCATACATGCGCTCTCTTTCCAAGGAGAGTATGTGTGTGGCATGGAGGAGTGCCCATACCTGCCAGGGCCTGCAGCTGAGTGCCTCTTACTCTAGAGCAGTGGTTGTCAACCTGGGGTCCCCAGAAGTTTTTGGCCTACAATTCCCAGAAATCCCAGCCAGTTTAGCAGCTGTTAGGATTTCTGGGAGTTGAAGGCCAAAAACATCTGGGGAGCCCAGGTTGAGAACCACTGCTCTAGAGTAAGAGGAGCTCAAATGCAGGCCCTGGCAGGCGCAGATGCTCTGGGCCTGCATGCCACACACACACACTTACTTTCTGAGGAGATTGTATGTGGTGTGCAGGATGGTCCACACCTGCCAGTGCCTGCAGCCCGGCTCCTCCCCTAGAAAGGGGTCTGGGTTTACCCAAAATGCACAACCCTAGTTTTCATGGCCAAGTGGGGAATTGAACCCTGGTCTCCAGGGTCATAGTCCAATGCTGAAACCAGCACAACATACTGGCTATCATAAGGCATTGTGCCTCTCTTGGTTGACTTAATAAGGGAATCACTAACATTGTCGTACTCCACAATAGAAAAAAATCTAGTTTTACTGTAGTTTCCATCTATGCCGAGGCGGGTAGTGTCTTTTTAAATTTACCGAGTAAAAATCCCCTAATGTATATGTTGTAAATCACCAGGAGCTATCCACATGAAAGGAATATTTACATATGTATGGAAAGCTCTTCACTAAAAAAGAGCAAATGTGGAATCCATTAGAACCACACAACCTTGGCTTTTTTCTTGGAGAGGGATGGTGCTCAACTGCACAAAACTTTAATCTCTCTCTCTCCTTAAAGATGATGGATAGTCAGACTCTTCCAAGAAATGTGCAAAGCATCTTGAACCAAAGCCATCCAAAGACCCCCCGCTTCTACTGTCTAAAAAAGATGGACTTTTCTGGCATCAACATCCAAGAAAGTCTGTTTTGATCCACATCAAGGGCAGACCAGTCATTTTCTAGCTTACGGGCAGGAGAGACCTCCTTGCCTCCTGCTGCCGGCTGGAGTCGTTCTTGTCCTAATATATAAGGATCAGAATGATTTCTCAAACAAGGGTCCCAAGGATGCTGTGACCCAAGAAGTCAACGCCTTTAGCATGAGTGAGGAACTTCCCTTATTGAGCTAAATCATGGGAGACATGTCACTGAATCTCCTCCGTGCTTAAACGACACAGAGTTCCTTTACATTCCCAGAAGGAAGTTCATGGCCCGGTCAATAGGCCATGGTGATGTGGTCTGGAGAATCCAAACTTGATTTTCTCAGCTAGTTTCCTTGATTCTTTCATCTCTTAGAGCAGGTATGGGCAAATCCAGGCCCGACGGGGCCAGATGCTTCCTTTCCTTCCTCCTTCCCTTCTTTCGTTACCTCTCTCTTTCTCCCTTTCTGCTTCTTTCCTTTCCACCCTTCCATCCATCCTTCTTTCTTTCCTCCCCTTTTCCCTGTCTCCCTCTTTCCCTTCCTTCCTCCCCTTTCCTTTTTGTCTTTTCCTTCTTCCTTTCCTCCTTCCTTCCCTCCCTCTTTCTCCCTCCCTCCTTCCTTCCCTTCCACCCTTTTGTCCTTCCTTCCTTCTCTCCTCTTTCCCCCCCTTCCCTTCTCTCCTTCTTTCTCCTTCCTTCCCTTTCCTTTTGTCTTCCTTCCTTCTCTCTTTCCTCCTCCCTCCCTCCCTCTTTCTCTCCCCCTCCTTCCTTCTCTTCCACCCTTTCATCCTTCCTTCCCTCTTTCTTTCCTCCCTCCTTCCCTCCTTCGCTCTCTCCGTCTTTCTCCTTCCTTCTTTCCTTCCTTCCTTCCCTTTTCCTTTTGTCTTTCCTTCCTTCTCTCCCTCTTTCCTCGCTCCTTCCCTCTCTCCTCTTCCTCCTTCCCTTCCCTTTTCCTTTTGTCTTACCTTTCTTTTCTCTTCCCTCCTTTCTCCCTCCCTCCTCCCTTCTCTTCCACCCTTTCATCCTTCCTTCTCTCTTTCCTCGCTCCTTCCCTCTCTCCCTCTTTCTTCTTCCTTCTTTCCCTTTCCCTTTTGTCTTACCTTCCTTTTCCCTTCCCTCCTTTCTCCCTCCTTCCTCCCTTCTCTTCCACCCTTTCATCCTTCCTTCCCTCTTTCCGCCCTCCTTCCCTCTCTCCCTCTTTCTCCTTCCTTCCTTCCCTTTTCCTTTTGTCTTTCCTTCCTTCTCTCCCTCTTTCCTCCCTTCTTCCCTCTCTCCCTCTTTCTCCTTCCCTCCCTTTCCTTTTGTCTTTCCTTCCTTCTCTCTTTCTTTTTCCCTTTCTTCCCTCCTTCTTTCTCCTCTCCTTCCTTCTTCCCCTTTCTCCTTCCTTCCCTCTCTCCCTCTTTCTCCTTCCTTCCTTTTTTCTTTCCCCTTTCCTTTTGTCTTTCCTTCCTTCCCTCCCTCCTTCCCTCTCTCCCTCTTTTTCCTTCCTTCCTTCCTTTTTCCTTTTGTCTTTCCTTCCTTCTCTCTTCCCTCCTTCCTTCTCTTCCACCCTTTCTCCTTCCTTCCTTCTTTTCTTCCTTTCCTTTTCCTTCCTTCCCTTTCCCTTTTGTCTTTCCTTCCTTCTCTCTTTCCTCCCTCCCTCTTTCTCTCTCCCTCCTTCCCTCCTTCCTTCGTTCCCTTTTCCTTTTTTCTTTCCTTCCTTCTCTCTTTCCTCCCTCCTTCTCTTCCTCCTTCTCTTCCACCCTTCTTTCTCTTTTTTCCTTCCTTATTTCCTTCCACATCTTTGTCATTCCTTCTTTCTCTTTTGTCTTTGAACTGTTTGGTTCAAAGATGAACCCCTGAACCTCAAAAGCAGTTTTCTCTACCTTTGGGGATCAAAGGCACGGCAATTTCAAATGAATACTATTTCTCTGCACAGTCAGCGTCCACAGAAACCTTGCCTTCCAGTAAGATTCCCCTTCATATGAGAAACAACAGTGAGGAATTGCATTGGAATTCTTTATGACATTCACATCCTCTAGAGAAATAAAATGTGCCATATATAGTGAAGGCAGAAGCCCGAGCTGCAGGCTTTGTTTAGACTAAAATGTAATACATCGTGGAATTTCTCTTTTGGAAGGAATGTTTATAGCTCTGTATCTGTTGTTCGTCCAAGAAGCTCTCCACTCGAGCGTGTATTTATTCTATATTAATCTACCTACTATGTCTGGACTCCAATCCTTCAGCTCAGCCTCTACGTTTATGCATTTCCTCCTTTGAGGAAGCTCTGAAAAACTCAGCTGAGGTTCATGCCTTCATTGCTTTAGCCATTTTGCCTTTCCTTGTACCAGCAATTAATATTATTATTATTAATAATAATAATAATAATAATAATAATAATAATAATGCATTTTATTTATATTCTGCCCTTCTCACCTAGCGGATTATAGCATTTACAGCAGACATAGGCAAACATTCAATGCCTTTACAATCACATACAATGAGACGCACAAACACAGACAAAGGCAAAGGCTTCTCCTTTCATTTCCGGCTTCTCATCTCTAGCTCTGGGGAGGTGCTTTTCTCCATTTTCAAGCTGAGGAGCTTGCTTTGTCACCTCCTGGTTGTGTGGCCAGCTAGATTGCTTGAAGCATCTCTTTTCCTTTTCCCGTCGAAGTGGTACCTATTTATCTACTCACATTTGCATGTTTTCAAACTGGAATTTGGCAGGAGCTATGGCTGAAAGACAGGAGTTCACTCCGCCTCGCGGATTCGAACTACCAACCTTCAGGTCAGCAGTTCAGCAGCACAAGGGTTTAACCCATTGAACAAACATAAACAAAGGCAAAGGCTTCTCCTTTCATTTCTGGCTTCTCATCTCTGGCTCTGGGGAGGTGCACTACCGCAGACCATTCTTGATTTTGGGTTTTCTTTTGCTGTTTTGTAACTGTCTTTTTTTTTCACTTCAGCAGCACATGGGTTTAACCCATTGCACAAACACAAACAAAGGCAAAGGCTTCTCCTATCATTTCCAGTTTCTCATCTCTGGCTTTGGGGAGGTGCTTTTCTCCATTTTCAAGCTGAGGAGCTTGCACTGTCACGTCCTGGTTGTGTGGCTGGCAAGATTGCTTGAAGCATCTCTCTGCCTTTTCCTGCCAAAGCGGTACCTATTTATCTACTCATATTTGCATGTTTTAAGCTGCTAGGTTGGCAGGAGCTATGGTTGAAAGACAGGAGCTCACCGCGCCTCTCTGATTTGAACTGCCAACCTTCAGGTCAGCAGTTCAGCAGCACAAGGTTCTAACCCATTTTACAAACACAAACAAAGGCAAAGACTTCTCCTTTCATTTCTGGCTTCTCATCTCTGGCTTTGGGGAGGTGCTTTTCTCCATTTTCAAGCTGAGGAGTTTGCTTTGTCACCTCCTGGTTGTGTGGCCAGCTAGATTGCTTGAAGCATCTCTTTTCCTTTTTCCGCCAAAGTGGTACCTATTTATCTACTCACATTTGCATGTTTTCAAACTGGAGTTTGGCAGGAGCTATGGCTGAAAGACAGGAGTTCACCCCGCCTTGTGGATTCGAACTGCCAACCTTCAAGTCAGCAGTTCAGCAGCACAAGGGTTTAACCCATTGCACAAACACAAACAAAGGCAAAGGCTTCTGCTTTCATTTCCAGCTTCTCATCTCTGGCTCAGGGGAGGTGCACTATCGCAGACCATTCTTGATTTCAGGTTTTCTTTTGCTGTTTTGTAACTCTCTTTTTTTGTTTTTTGTTTTTTGGCAAATTGCATGACCCTGGAAATCAAAAAATAAGACCCTGGACTTATCATAGTTGTCCAACCTTAATATGATCCCTTTGTTTGCTAGTCCATGAGCAGGAAAATATTTTAGGCTGTGTTATACTTACATACTTATGYGATCCCTTGTTGTCCGAGTAGGATTGTCTTCCAAGATTGGTGTCCTGGCGGTGGGTCCGTAGGTGACTGTGGAGCCCTATTCTTGACCTGCATGTTCTCCCGCAGTGAGGGCATTGGTTTCCAGGTGGGAGGCGGTCGGGGTTGGCTTGACACGCCTTCCTCTTGGCACATTTCTCTCTTTTGCCCTCCATTCGTGCTTCTTCAAATTCTACAGCACTGCTGGTCACARSTGACCTCCAGTTGGAGCACTCAAGGGCCAGGGCTTCCCAGTTCTCAGTGTCTATGCCAGAATTTTTAAGGTTGGCTTTGAGCCCATCTTTMAATCTCTTTTCCTGCCCACCAACATTCCGTTTTCCATTCTTGAGTTTGGAGTAGAGCAACTGCTTTGGGAGACAGTGGTCGGGCATCCGGACAATGTGGCCAGTCCAGCGGAGTTGATGGCRGAGGRCCRTCRCTTCRATGCTGGTGGTCTTTGCTTCTTCCAGCACKYTGAYRTWTGYCCACTTGTCTTCCCAAGAGATTTGYAGGATTTTTYCGGAGGCAGCGCTGATGGAATCRTTCCAGGAGTTGCATGTGACATCTGTAGATAGTCCACGTCTCACAGCCRTATAGCAGGGTTGGGAAGACAATAGCTTTATAAACAAGCACCTTGGTATCCTTACGGATGTCCCGGTCCTCAAACACTCTGCTTCATTGAGCAAATTGCTGCACTCGCACAGCTCAGGCAGTGTTGTGTTTCAGTGTCAATGTTGACTTTTTTGAACCCCAGTGGAGTCAGTACCTTGTCCGTCTGTAGATAATCCACATCTCACAGGCATATAGCAGGGTTGGGAGGAGAATAGCTTTATAAACAAACACCTTGGTATCCCTACGGATGTCCCGGTCCTCAAACACTCTCTGCTTCATTCAGAAAAATGCTGCACTCGCAGAGTTCAGGCGATGTTGTATTTCAGTGTCAATGTTGACTTTTTTGAACGCCAGTGGAGTCAGTACCTTGGCCGTCTGTAAATAGTCCACGTCTCACAGGCATATAGCAAGTTGGGAAGACAATAGCTTTATAAACAAACACCTTGGTCTCCCTACTCTCTGCTTCATTCAGAAAAACGCTGCCCTCGCAGAGCTCGGACAATGTTGTATTTCAGTATGACTTTTCTGAACCCCAGCGGAGTCAGTACCTTGGCCAGTTCCTTCAAGTTTAAACTAAAGTACATAGCAAAATTGCCATCACAATGGCATGGGAGTTACGAACTCCAGATGAGTGGGTCTCCATATTGACTTGTGCCTCTGTCTACAAGAAAGGGTTGGACCGTTCCTTCCTAGGTAAGTAATGAACAGAGCTTGTGATACAACTTCAAAGGAAACCCCAATCCAGGGCATGCCATTCACATCAAAGCTTCCGTCTCTGCGTTTTCATTTTGGTTCATTAATGCATCACCATAAAAGCTTTGGATCTGCAAATACTCAATCTTTAATTTTAATGTAAATCCTTCCAAAGCCCTGTGAAACATAATTAATGCTTGTAAAACCATTTCAACGGAGATCAGTCCCTGAATTGTCTTTGAGGTCCTGCAACTTAACCTCACCCTTCTGTGTGCTTTCTCGGCTGTGTTGTTAACGTCTCCTCGGGAAACCTTATCCGGCGATTCTCTCATGAAGCAAAATCGATACAGTCGCGCGTGTGTAAAAGAAAGGGAGATGGGCTCATAAATATGTAATGGCGTGCAAGTGGAATTCATTAACAGAGAAAAAGCTCCAATTTGACAAAGCCTTGGCATTCCCTGGGTTAAGCCAGCTTGCAAATCTGATTAACCAATTGACTCTCTGTCCTTCTCCAGAGGAGGAACCTGAGCTGGGGAACGTATCAGTCTCAAAAGTTCACTGGGATGGATTCCAGCTCACCTGGACCGCCGCCGATGGGGCCTATGAGAGCTTTATTATCCAGGTGCGGGAATCCAATCTACCCGAAGATGCAAGGAATCTCACTGTTCCTGGTGGTTTATGGTCTGTGGACCTCACTGGCCTCCTACCAAACACTCTCTACACCATCACCCTTTATGGGGTCACTCAGGGCTACAGAACAAAACCCCTCCAGGTTGAATCTACGACAGGTATTTCTTGTTTCATCCCTCCAGCATCTTCAGGTTCCCCTGGCTTTCTCTTTCCTTCCTTTGCAGAGAGATAAAGAGGCATTTGCCCAACTTCTGGATCGGCTCTTTGATGGTCATCTCTTCTAGCTTCTGCATTTCATCTCATAGGAATGGCTCGAGCTTTGAAAGATCAGGACGGACACCAGTTTGCATGTTCTTTGCTCCTCCTGGTTTTGTTTTGTTTTTCATTTGTTTGTTATTTTGAGAAATAAAGCATGATGAGAGATGATGACGATGATGATGATGATGATGATGATGATGATGATAAATTTATATTTAACTCTATCTCCCCGAGGGAGATAGAGCATAGAAAACATACAGTGTTCACTTATCGCGGGTGTTATGCTCTACGACAGTGGTTCTCAACGTTCCTAATGCCACGACCCCTTAAGACAGTTCCTCATGTTGTGGTGACCCCCCAGCCATTAAATTATTTTCGTTGCTACTTCATAATTGTAATTTTGCTCCTGTTAAGGAGCCCCCGATGGCACAGTGGGTTAAAGTACTGAGCTGCTGAGCTTGCTGATCGAAAGGTCGCAGGTTCGATTCCGGGGAGCGGCGTGTGCTTCCGCTGTCAGCCCTAGCTTCTGCCAACCTAACAGTTCGAAAACATGCAAATGTGAGTAGATCAATAGGTACCACTCCGGTGGGAAGGTAACGGCGCTCCATGCAGTCATGCCGGCCACATGACCTTGGAGGTGTCTACGGACAACGCTGGCTCTTCGGCTTAGAAATGGAGATGAGCACCACACCCCAGAGTCAGACATGACTGGACTTAATGTCAGGGGACTACCTTTACCTTTACCTTATGAATCATTATGTAAATATCTGATATGCAGGATGTATTTTCATTCACTGGACCAAATTTGGCACAAATACCCAATACGCCCAAATTTGAATACTGGTGGGGATTTTTTTTTTTGTCATTTGGGAGTTGAAGTTGCTGGGATTTATAGTTCACCTACATTCAAAGAGCATTCTGAACTACACTAACAATGGACTTGAACCAAACTTGGCACACAGAACTCTCATGACCAACAGAAAATGCTGGAAGGGTTTGGTGGGCATTGACCTTGGGTTTTAGAGTTGTAGTTCGCCTACATCCCGAGAGCACTGTGGACTCAAACAATGATGGATCTGGACCAAACTTGGCACGAATACTCAATATGCCCAAATGTGAACACTGGTGAAGTTTGGGGGAAATAGACCTTGACATTTGGGAGTTGTAGTTGCTGGGATTTATAGTTCACCTACTACCAAAGAGCATTCTGAAGCCCACCAATAATACAATTAGGCCAAACTTCCCACACAGAACTCCATGACCAAGAGAAAATACTGTCTGTGATGGTCTTTGGTGACCCCTCTGACACTCCCTCGCGACCCCTTCAGGGGTCCTGACCCCCAGGTTGAGAACTACTGTTCTAGGACCACCTGCGATAAGTGAAATTCCGCGAAGTAGGGACGTCCCCTCCACTCCTCGCCCTTTTTACCTTCCTCTTCCTCCTCCTCGTCGCTGCCTGGGCCTCTTGCTGCCACTTGGGCCCCGCAACGCTCTTCTTTCCTCCTCAATGACAGGGCCCAAGCAGCGATGCCTCTCTCTCTCTTTCACTCAGTGTTCCCTCGCTACTTAATTTAAAAAGCCGCAAAACAGCGAGTCTGCGATAAGCGAACCGCGAAGTAGCAAGGGACCATGGTATGCTGCAAATATTCAATGCCGTTATACAATCAACAAGGACAGACAATACATAAACAGGTGTAAGGACAGACAATAAATAAACATATTTTCCATTTCCGGCATCTGAAGGCTGTGCTCAACTCTGACCACAGGGGGGTGCTGTGATTCCATCTTCCATGCCGAGGATCTTTGTTGTCCTTAGACATCCTCCTGATTGAACCACTGCCATGTCCCTATGGGCACCTTTTTATTACCTCCTTGCTTTAAAGTGGTACTTGTTTATCTACTCACATTTCTGTTTTCGATTTGCTAGGTGAGCAGAGATCTGGGGCTGATGGCTGGTGCTCACCCCGACCCAGGCTTGAACTGCTGACTTTTCAATCTGCAGCTTAGCGGTTTAGCCCACTGTGCTAAGCTCAGCCCTTTGCTAAGCTTCAAAATCTCCTTTACCATCTTCATTTAGTATTGGAGAAATACCATTCTGCTTTGCAGTCGGCTCCACATTGTCCAGATTTCTCAGCAAGTGCTCAAAAGATATCATTACTTCCCAAGAGTCCTCTCTCAACTCTTAATATTGGCATTTTGTTTTGCTTTCACTGTTGCTCCCAGTAATAATAATAATAATAATAATAATAATAATAATAATAATACTGAGTTATCGAAGGCTTTCATTGCCAAAATCACTGGGTTGCTGTGAGTTTTCTGGGCTGTATGGCCATATTCCAGAAGCATTCTCTCCCAATGTTTCGCCCACATCTGTGACAGGCATCCTCAGAGTTTGTGAAGTCCGTTGGAAACTAGGCAAGTGGGGTTTATATATCCATGGAATGATGTCCAGGGTGGGAGAAAGAAAACTTGTCTGTCTGTGGCAAGTGTGAACGTTGCAATTGACCACATGATTACCATTGAATAGCCTTGCAGCTTCAAAGCCTGGCTGCTTCCTGCCTGGGGGAATCTTTTGTTGGAAGGTGTTAGCCCAACAAACAATCAGGGCTGGCTAACACCTTCCAACAAAGGATTCCCCCAGGCAGGAAGCAGCCAGGCTTTGAAGCTGCACGGCTATTCAATGCTAATCATGTGGCCAATTGTTAGCCCGACAAACAATCAGGGCCAGCTAACACCTCCCAACAAAGGATTCCCCCAGGCAGGAAGCAGCCAGGCTTTGAAGCTGCATAGCTATTCAATGCTAATCATGTGGCCAATTGTTAGCCCAACAAACAATCAGGGCCAGCTAACACTTCCCAACAAAGGATTCCCCCAGGCAGGGGGACATTCGCACTGGCCTCCAACAAACAAGAGTTCTTTCTCCCACCCTGGATATTATTCCACAGGTATATAAACCCCACTTGCCTAGTTTCCCCCAGACCTTACAACCTCTGAGGATGCTTACCATAGATGTGGGCGAAACGTCTTGAGAGAATGCTTCCGGAACTTGGCCATACAGCTCAGAAAACTCACAGCAACCAAATAACAATATCTGTCTCATAGAAGCATCACTTCTGAACCTAAGTTCTCTGGCCTAAGCCAAGTTATCCCTTAATTCACTGCACCTAACCATTACTGATATAGCATTTCTTTGTAAGATATGGTCGAAAAAGAGTATCTTCATCTTCTGTAGCAAGCTAGGCTGCATCATGCTTTGTTTTGCATGGCCTCGATGAATATCTTCATTTTAGGGTACGCATCTCCATTGCAGCTTCCTCGCTTCTTTCTTGCTTGGCTCGTCTCTCCATTCCATCTTCTGCTTCTCCTGGGAACATGGATCAGGCTTCAAATTCTCTCTCACACACAAAGTCAATGTTTTTTTCCCCCTTCTTTAGCCACCAAACCAGACGTTGGTGATCTAACCATTTTGGGCATCACCCCTGAAAGCTTCAACCTTTCCTGGACGGCCACCAACCAAGCCTTCAAGATGTTTACCATTGAGATTATTGATTCCAACAGGTTGCTGGAGCCCAAGGTGTATAATGTCTCTGGCAATTTGAGAACTGCACATATCTCAGGGTTGTCCCCCAAAACTGATTTCATTATCTACCTCTATGGAGTCACTAATGGTTTCCGGTCTCAGACACTGACTGCTGCAGCTACTACAGGTATATGATCTCTGATACCACATATGCTGATGCATGCTTTGTTTCCTTTGCAGTTTTCTTTCCAGGACCCTTCCTAGCCTCCTTTCTATTAATTTGCATTTGCCTTCTGTTGCCTTTTATGGAAAGGTGGAAACACACAGCCAAAAGGTAGACAACTACATCCCTATGGAAAGATTACAACAGCTGAGTATTTCAGTTTAGTGGACATAGAGGGGATAGAAATAACTGGGAATGTAACAGAGGTCTATCATACTAGATGTAGTGTCTTGATACAAATTTATGTATTTATTTACAGTATTTATATTCCACCCTTCTCACCCCAAAGCAGACTCGGATCGAATCACAGAACACATATAGGGCTCTGCCTTATTCAGGTAGAGATGAACCAAACAAATACCCAGTTTGTATCAAGCAGTTGAATCAAAACAGCACTTACTTTCTGGCTGTTTTAATAGTCCAAAATATAAAACATAAAGATTGCACTCATCCACAGAATATAAAACCAAAACAGCAAACACTTTTGCAGGTTCAAGATACTACGTAGTCAAAAGGTCCAATCCAGTGGTCAAATGCCAAGAGTTTGACCAAAGTCCTGGGATCAAGAGTCTATACCATAGTAAAAAGCAAGTCCAAAAATTCAAGGTTCCAGAATTCCAAAGGTTCAGGAGTCAGGCCAGGACACCAAAAATCCACAAGCCTGGGGGGAAACCAGCAGCATCTACCACCAAAATAAAACTTTTCTCCCAAAGATCAGTCCTAAGGCTAGCTCCTTATATCTAGAAACACCCAGCTGCAACCCATCTCTTGCATACCTCCACCCTTAATTGCTTTCACCCATGAACTCTTACTTACAGAATACTCAACTTTTTGGAACTAAGACTTACATTAACCCTTCCATCACCAACTGCTAGGCCTACCACCACCAACCACCATCAACTGCAGAACATGATACATGACACATATACAGCAAACATTCAATGATGCTATACACTGACAAGATGGACAACAGTGCATTGATAGAAGTATATATAGGCTTTCCCATCTTTTGGCATCTTGGAGGCTATGCTCTGTTCTGTCCACAGGGGGTGCCGTTGCTCCACTTTCCCTACCGAAGAGGTTTTGTTCCTCTTTGATCGAACCAGCAGCATTTTTCTGGCATTTCCTTATAAGTACCTTGAATACCTCCCCACTTAAGTCGTACCTGTTTATCTACTCACGTGATTTTTTTCCGAAACTGCTAGATAAGCAGAAGCTGGGCAAATGGCCAGGAGCTCACCCTGACCCGGGCTTTGAACTGTCACCCTTTCGGTTGGCAAGATTTACTGCAGCTGGCAGTTAACCTACCATGTTAAAGCCCTATGCATGGTTTGGGTCATCACTCCTGAGAAAGGATATTGTAGATGCTGAAAATAATTACCAGAATGATGGAGCAACACTGCTATGAGGAAATGCTTACCTTAGACATGCTTACCTTAGAGAAATAGGCATGCTTACCTTAGAGAAAAAGCAAATAAGGGCAGGCATGATAGATGTGAACACAATTATGCATTATATGAAGAAAGTAGAGAAAGATACACTTTTTCAACTCTCACTCTCATAATGCTTGAATTTGAGATCATCCACTGAAGCTAAACAATGGAAGATTCACGGCAGATCGAAATACTTCTTCATAAGTTTTAGGATTCACTAGGACATATTTCAAAGAGGTGTGGCTAAAGCCATGAAAGTTAGGGTAGCTATCGATTGCAATTAGTTGTATGGTTATAATTACAGTGTTCCCTCACTTATCGTGGCGGTTATGTTCCAGGACCACCTGCGATAAGTGAAAAACCATGATGTAGGGACACTATATTGTATATGTACAAGTCTGTGGAAGCATCTATGTTTATTTATTTATTGTGTCAGAGCATCTATGCTGGAGAAACAACACACTTTAGCAATGGGTATACAGTGTTCCCTCGCTACTTGTATTTTAAATTCATTTTTTTTTAAAAAAAAAAACCATGAAACAGCGAGTCCACGTGAAGCAAACCACAAAACAGTGAGGGAATACTGTATATCATATTGTTGATAACTTACTTCTATTTTATTGGTGACTTTTGGTATGTTTGTAATGAGACTGGAATCAACTTAATTTGTAAGACACACGAATCCCCAAAGAGAGAAGATATGGTATAGGGAAAGACAACAAAAACAACAACAACATCTCCTCTATCAGGCACAGCTGAATTCCCTATATCAGTCAACATAATGCTGGATTAGATCAGTTTTGCTCTGATCTATTATTACTCTTCTGTTTTTATGTACAGGAAGTGACCTAGGATCATTCAGTTGGTCTGCCAATGAAGCTGTTACCGATAGTTTGTGGTTTTGCGGTAGAGAAAGAAGATACAGACAAGGCAATGGCCAATACATTGATAAGTTGATTGATCAGTCAATCAACCAATTGATAGATAGATAGACTTGTATGTGGGAAGGTTTTGTGTGTTAGCTTTAGTTCTGGTATGGAAACAAATATGAGTTTCTCATGTTAAGAAGAGCCACCTTGAGCTTCAGTTGGAGGTCCACCATCTTGGACAACTGGTTTGTGCCAAGTTCTCTTTGACGGACACTTATAGAAGGGAGGAAGGTCCTCATCTTTTCCCCCAGTTTTGTACTCCGCTTTTAGAAGTGTTGCCAATGCTGATCCAAACATGTGTTCTGTTTTTTTCTCTTTCCTCCTCATAATAGCTGAACCACTGCTTAGCAAGCTGACCATTTCAAATGTTACCTCTGATGGACTCTCTCTCCGATGGAAAGCACAGGACTTTGCCTTTGATCATTTTCTCTTAGAGGTTAGAAACACCAACAACCAGTCTCTGGACTCCCAGCTACACACAGTGCCAGGGAGCATCCGGAACTTGGTTCTCACCAATCTAAGACCAACCTCTAGTTATCATCTCCAGCTTCATGGCTTGGTTGATGGGCAAATTGGTCAGACCTTGACAGCTCTGGCTACCACAGGTATATCCTCTCCAATTTGTTGTTTATTCCGGTGATTCATTTTGCTTCCATCCTCTCAAGATGACCTCTTCCTCGTCTCATCTTCTGCAATTTGAAAAGAGTGTTGTTTATTGGAGTTGTGTTGTCACACTCATGTGTCCCCACAATTAAGGAAATCTTCTGTCTGGAACCCTGATCGGTTCTTTTATATATGTACATACACTGATCTACACCACCTTCCTTCTTTTCTGTGTGCATATATAGACAACCATTTCGATACTACATACATATATGTGTGTATAAATGCATGTATATGTACTTGTTTCTCTTGAGGTTCTTCTGGAACATCTGTCAACCTGATCCACAGTACCTGGCTCTTCTTTTCCTTCCATTTTGCCTGCCTTGTCTTTCTTGTCATGACATCTAGATGTTCCAAAATGCTTGACTTTCTGAAAAATTGTTCTCTGCATGCTTTGAAGATCAAAGGTCTTCCACTGATTTCAGAAGAGTCCTCAGGTCCTAGTCTTTCAATGCATCAGCAAAGAGATGTGCATACATCTTCCTGAAATCTTTTTTGACTGATCTTTTGCATATATAATGAGATCTAAACAGTCATTGGAATGGCAAATACAGCCATTTTCTTTCTGGAGGGTCAACCTGAACGGCTCCTACTTCAACTTTTGTCTTCGATGTCTTAGATCATGGAATCTAGCCATGTTCTTCTAGCGTTGCCAGAGTTTTCTTAGTATTTGGTACTTCTAAATCTTGTCATGTGAGATGCTCTCGACTTGCATTGCATGGAAAGCCCCTTTGAGATCCAAGGGCTGTTATGACTGTCCTGCATGCAACAAAGCATGCTTTCAAAATGCTCAGATGGAGCACATGCGCAGAGGAAACCAATTCCAGTTTGCATGTCGGTCCGAGAGAACCTTGCTTGTCATCACTTTCCTGTGTATTCTATTTGATCTTCACGGGAACTTGTGCTCTCATTGAACGTATTTTGCTGGTCATGTGCAACATGGCAGCAAGACGGAAACACTTCTGGTCACCATCATGCAGCATGAAGGCAATTCGAGCATGAGTCCTTAATTGTGGTCATTCAAGCAGCATTTAGCTGCCATGAGTCCCGGTATCAGGAGAAAGGCAAGATAAAAAAATAAATACATTTGCACAATGGGTGCAATCCAAAGCATAGCTGTGAGTAGCCTCTCACTTCTTGCTTGCTCTCCAACTCATATCCATCTATTTTCTCAAACCAAGAGAAGAGGAAAGCTCCTCTAGATGAGTAATGTATCCAACGTTATTTGATAACAATCTCCAACTATGAATTTAGTGGTTGGACAACCATGACTTTGGATGGTCACTGACATACACCATTCATATGACAGTTCTGGTCTAGGAGGATATGAGTGCATGCATTCAATATCAACAGTCATAATTGACTATGAATTGACCAATGAGAAGTCATGGAATAATTTGCTAATTTTTTGGATGAAACACGCTCCTCATTTTTCTGCTTTCCACAAGTAATGCCTCTCTCTCTCTGATTTGTGTCCCTTTCTCTACTTCAGAGTCCGACCCACAGCTGGGCATGCCCACATTCACAAACGCTAATGCCAACACCTTCAACCTCTCCTGGACTGCAAGGGATGAGCCTCTTCCCAAGTTGGCTGTAAATATTAGAGATTCTTATCTATCCCAAGAGCATCTGGAGCTTCCTGCCTCAGAAGAAGCTCCCGAAACTCTCATCTCAAGCTCGGTAGATTACACTGACTATGATATAAACATTCAGGGCACAACCACAGATGAGGGGCCGTCTGATCCCCTCATCTCTCTAGTGATGAAAGGTATCCATTTTATTTTTTAAAATGACATTTTCACCCTCCCCCCAATTATGTCTTCCTCATAGACTTATTGTTGAATGTGCTACAGCATCAAGGCCTTTATGACCTACTGTTTCCATAAGTACTGGAGACTACAATGCCTGTGATGCTTTATAATGGGAGAAAATTAGGTTG